AACGGTGATATGTTGGAGATGATCTTAAGCAAAGGATTCGATTGTGGGAAGCTAGCCGAGCAATTAAAGCTTTATTCTTTGGATCCGGAAGTTGAGAAGTTGGTAAATAAAATGGAAATGAAAAAATCCACAAGATTAGATGTCAAGCAAATTGAATTGTCCCCAACTCATACAAAATTGTCTCCATCCCTTGTTCAACCACCCGAATTGGAATTAAAGGTCTTACCTCAACACTTGAAGTATGCCTACTTGGGAAAGAATGAAACCCTTCCGGTTATCATCTCAACTCATTTAACCGAATTTGAAGAAGAGCAACTCCTCAAGGTGTTGAAGGAGCATAAAGAAGCCATGGGTTGGACGATTGCGGATATCAAGGGTTTGAGCCCCTCCACTTGTATGCACAAGATCTTAATGGAGGATGAATGCAAGCCAAGTAGAGACGCGCAAAGAAGGCTAAATCCACCAATGATGGAAGTCGTGAAGAAAGAGATATTAAAGCTTCTTGATGCGGGGATGATCTATCCAATCTCGGATAGCAAGTGGGTGAGTCCGGTGCAAGTCGTTCCAAAGAAGACGGGAATCACGGTGGTCGAGAACAACAAAGGTATGATGGTCCCCACCCGTGTGCAAAACGGGTGGAGAGTATGTATTGACTACCGCAAACTCAATGCGAGCACACGAAAAGATCATTTCCCATTGCCTTTCATTGACCAAATGTTAGAAAGGTTGGCCGGGAAATCCCATTATTGTTGTCTAGACGGGTACTCTGGTTTTCACCAAATCCCGGTGGCACCGGAGGACCAAGAAAAGACAACATTTACATGCCCATTTGGTACTTTTGCATACCGGAGAATGCCATTTGGATTGTGTAACGCCCCGGCCACTTTCCAACGTTGTATGGTTAGTATCTTTTCGGATTATGTTGAAAACATAATTGAGGTTTTTATGGATGATTTCACGGTACATGGCAACTCTTTTCAAGAATGTTTGACTAATCTCACAAAAATTTTAAAAAGATGCATTGAAACAAACTTGGTTTTGAATTTTGAGAAATGTCATTTCATGGTGAGTCAAGGTCTCATTTTGGGTCACATTGTGTCTAAAAAAGGAATTGAGGTAGATAAGGCCAAAATTGATGTTATTCAAAGCTTACCTTACCCGACTTGTGTTCGGGAAGTTCGTTCTTTTTTGGGCCATGCAGGTTTCTACCGAAGGTTCATCAAGGATTTTTCAAAGATAACAAGACCAATGTGCCAACTCTTGCAAAAGGAGGTCGATTTCGAGTTCAATGAGGCGTGCAAAGAAGCTTTTGACAAGCTCAAAGAGTTGCTTACATCCGCTCCCATCATGCAAGCACCAAATTGGGATCTCCCTTTTGAGATCATGTGTGATGCAAGCAACTATGCGATTGGCGCCGTTTTGGGTCAAAAGAATGGGAGGGCCTCCCATGTGATCTATTATGCATCAAGGACACTAGACAATGCCCAAAGCAACTACTCTACCACGGAGAAGGAGCTATTGGCCATAGTGTTCGCCTTGGAGAAATTTAGACAATACCTACTTGGTACCAAGGTCATAGTGTATTCGGATCACGCAGCTCTTAAGTACTTGATGACGAAGAAAGATGCAAAGCCGAGACTCATCCGGTGGATCCTACTGTTACAAGAATTTGACTTGGAAATCCGGGACAAGAGCGGATGCGAGAACCTCGTTGCCGATCATCTAAGTCGGATCACTTCAAATGAAACTCCTCTCCCATTGCGGGACGAGTTTCCGGATGAGCATCTCTTTTCCCTTACCCAATCTATTCCTTGGTATGCCGATATCGTTAACTTTTTGGTCACAAAAAGGTATCCCGACACATTCACGCGTGCTCAAAAAGACAAGTTGAAAAGTGATGCAAAATACTATGTGTGGGATGAACCTTATTTGTGGAAACATTGTCCCGATCAAATCATTAGGCGATGTGTGCCCCAACAAGAGCACCAATCCATTTTGCAATTTTGTCATGAATTTGCTTGTGGGGGACACTTCGGACCTAGCCGGACTTTGAGAAAAGTCCTTGAATGTGGATTATTTTGGCCAACCATGTCACGCGATTGTTATATGTTTTGCAAAAGTTGTGAGCGGTGCCAAAGGACGGGAAACATTTCGCAAAAGAACCAAATGCCCCAAAATCCAATCCTTGTTTGTGAAATTTTTGACGTATGGGGGATTGATTTTATGGGCCCATTTCCCGTATCATTTGGCAACGTTTATATTTTACTCGCGGTTGACTATGTTTCTAAATGGGTTGAAGCCAAAGCCACAAGATCGGACGATGCCAAAACGGTTATCGAGTTTTTAAAGTCTAATGTTTTTGCGAGATTTGGTGTGCCTAGGGCTTTGATTAGTGATAGAGGGACGCACTTTTGCAACAAAATGATGGAGGCTCTATTGAAGAAGTATCACGTGACTCATCGTGTCTCCACTGCCTATCACCCTCAAACGAATGGTCAAGCGGAGGTCTCGAATCGTGAAGTGAAGTCTATTCTAGAGAAAACGGTGAATCCGACAAAGAAGGATTGGAGTTTGAGACTTGACGATGCCTTATGGGCATATCGGACCGCTTATAAGACCCCGATTGGAATGTCGCCCTTCAGATTAGTTTTCGGAAAATCTTGTCATCTTCCCGTCGAGTTAGAGCACCGAGCATTTTGGGCGGTCAAGAAATGCAACTTCGACATTGACGAGGCTGGAAGGCATAGGAAACTTCAACTCCAAGAGCTAGAAGAATTGAGAAACGAATCCTATGAAAACGCAAGGATTTATAAGGAGAAAACGAAGCTCTTCCACGACAAGTCCATCACCCGGAAGAATTTTGAACCGGGACATAGGGTCTTACTTTACCATTCACGGTTGAAGTTATTCCCGGGCAAATTAAGATCAAGGTGGATTGGCCCATTTGTTGTAATAAAGACTTTTGACCATGGAGCGGTGGAAATCCAAAGTGAAGAAACGGGACATATTTTCAAAGTTAACGGGCACCGATTAAAGCCATTCTATGAAAGTTTTAATGCAAGTGTTATTGAAGTCATCCACTTGGATGTCCCGGAGTGTTGAACCAAGCTAGAAGGACGTCTCGCCTAAGACGTTAAAGAGAGGCATTTTTGGAAAAGCTTTATGCTTTCGTGTTTCTACGTTCGAATAAAGAAGTTTTGAAAATGTTTTGATGTGTCTTTTGAAGTCATTTTTGAAGAAACCAAGAGTTCCTAGGTGTTTGGGGCATTTGGGATCAAGAACTAGTGAAGAAACGGAAGAAAACAGAGAAAAATCGATTTCCGGGAGCAGGGATCTGCGCGACCCGCGCACGGGTGCGCGGCTGGTGTGCGCGGCCGGTCTTCAACTTGCAACAAAAACCAGGGACCAAACTGCATGATCTGCGCGACCCGCGCGCCCCTCTGCGCGACCCGCGTGCTGCTTTGACGACCATCCCATATTTTGTTGACCAGCTTTGACTTTCGTTGACCAGGTGGTTTAATGAGTTGACCAACATTGACCGGGTGTTGACCACACTTGAATATGGATTGAAAACCTCCAGCAACTCTTCTTCTTCATTTCATTCTCTCAAAAACCCCTCATTCTCTCTCAAACTCTCAAGAACACATAAACCCACTTTTCACAAAAATTTGATTTCCCGGAGTTCCACCGGTCGGAATACGACGAGACCACCACCATTCTTCACCATTTTCCGTGCTCTACAAACCCCACCTGAAGTTTACTCCGATCCATCGCCGGGTCTAGGGGCGCCACCACCACCCAACTCGCCGCTTTCCGGCCATTTTCCGGCCAACTCCTACCACCTCTCGCAATTCCGACACCACCAAAGTGTTTCTTTTTCAGGGATCTTTACATCTAACCAAACAAAACCTCAAAATCTCACCAAAAATTTTCCCATAATTTTTGAGCCACCACGAGCCGCCGCCGGATTTTTCACACAAATCAAGTTGAAAATATCCCTTCAATGAACAAGTCTTGCGTTTAGGCACCCACGAATAACCAAAGCTTGGGGTGCACGGTAGCGGATTCCGGGCTCAAGTTCAATTTTGGGATAATACGGGTATTCTCTTTCCTTGGTTTTTATTACATTGCATTGTTTCAATTCGATAATTGCATCCAATTATGCTTTGGAAATTGCCTAAGATCGTTAGTTGTTGCCCGGTTTATTTGGAAACATTGATTTGAGAAAGGTTGAGATTGGTTAATTTGCTTGGAAATTTGTTCAAAAATTGTTTAAACTTTGGTTGGGATTTTCTCATTTTGTCTCGTATTGCTGCCGAATTTTTGTTGGGATTATCAAATTAACCGAGTGGTGTTGTTGAAACCATTTTACATTGTCAAAAGTTGGGTGTCATTATTTCTTGGATTTTTTTTGTGTTCGGTCTAAAGATAGTTGCATTAATTTGAGAGTGGTGAGGTGAGGGATTACGTTGGTGAAGTTGTTTTTGATATTGTAGGTTTCGAAAATGGGCAAAACCACGGCTCGGACACGCACCCATGGATCATCGATCGATCCTAACCCGCAAAAGGATGTCGCCGGTCCATCACGCAAAGCAGCCGGTAAACGAAAAAAAAGAGGAGAAGAGGGAAGCGATCCTTCCCTTACAAATGCTGAGATCAAAACCTATCGCTCCAATCTTCGGGGTCGCGCAATCCGGCCGACAAAATTCTACCATAAAAAGTCATGAAAAAGCTTGGGGTGCATGATGGTGTATACAATTTGTTCCTAAAACTCGGTTGGCGTGGTTTTCTTCGACTTTGTGACAGAACTTACGAGGAACCCACAATGGAATTTCTTAGCACATATGCACGAGATGATGACACGAAAGTCCTCACATTCCAGTTGAAAGGGGAGCATCATAGGCTCACATACGAAGAGCTTGATTCTATCATGGGTATAGACGATCCATAGCACATCAGCCCCCAAAATCAAGAGTACCAAGATTTTCTGCGTTACCCTGATGCAAACTTTTGGATGCAAATTTCCGGTCTCGCAACCTTCAACCCAAGCCGACAGCGAGCCAAGCACATCATTCACCCCTGCTGGCGAATTGCTCACCGAGTCCTTACGACGAGTATTTTTCGGGCGTCTCGAGCCCGGTCAAATCAACAGATGTGAGCTATTTTTCCTCCGAAGCATGAGGCGTGCACTCCCCCTCAGTTTTTCAGGCTTCTTTTTAGACAAATGTGACTCCATACGCCAACGTTCCTCAGGGGAAATTTTCATCGGGGGACTTATCACGATCATAGGTCGAGCCGTCGGCCTAGACTTCCCGGATCCCGAGTACATACCTGTCGACACCCCACCGAACTTCCTGCTAGATTGTGACACTCTCATCCGGATGGAGATGTTGCTCGATCGGGGAACCCGCACGTACAGTTGGTTAGACTCTGACAAAGCCCCGGTTTACATCCTGCCAAGTTGGATCGGTTCTTCATTCGATACAGGCGACCCCGACACTTGGCTTCCTCCAGATCATTGACCCAAGCAGGTGTATTCCCAGAATTCGGTGATGATGAGGGTGACGACGCAGAGCAACAAGAGGAAGAAGATGACGAAGAGAACGACGAGATGCCCGAAGCTGAGGACCATTTTGACCAGCCCTCGATGCAGCAGCCGATGTTTCCGCATGATCAATTCCAGGCCCCTCCACACCATTTTGACCAGCCGCATCAGCAGGAGGGACACGAAGTCCCACCATATTTCCCCCCCACGTTCTTTGACCAATTTGCCACAATGTTCTCCACGGTGCAGCGCATCGACGCCCAAACGCAAGAGAATTCGAGAGCCATCCTAGATGTGGCAAGCCGTGTTGATCGATTGGAGCAGTCCTCCCCTCACACTTCCCGCCAGGTCCAGGATATGTGGGACTACCACTATCGCCACGGGCATTTCCCGCCGCCCGACCCTCCGATTTAGGTCCTTTCCGCCCTTTCCTTAAGCATTGAGGACAATGCTTGTTCTTAAGCTTGGGGTGGGGCATTTCCCTTTTTTTTTTTACTCTTTTTCATGCATTTTTAGTTAGGTTGCATAACATATTAGTTTAAGTTAATTTGCATTCATTTTTTTTATTTTATAAAATTTCAAAAAGATTTTATTTTCTTCTTTTCCACTTTTTATTTTTGCATAACATTTAGCTTAAGACATTAGCATTCATGCATTTTTGTTGTCTGTTTATTCTCACCTCTCTTGGATGCCATGGAACAGGTTCACAGTTATTGTATCATTATTGGTCCAGGATCTTGTTGCTATCTCACCCATCGAATCGGGACCACTAGCTGCAGTTTGGGATTTCATACTTGGGATCAGATGCTGGTAGCTTAAAGGGGTAAGTGATCATGGCCAGGTAGTTTCATGAAGAATTATGCATACAATACTAACAACTGTAGGATATACTATAGCAATGGGTGTTCTTAGCCTTGCGGTCACTACCGCGGAGAGGATCACACTTGATCATGTTTGAACTGTTAGGATGAAGCATTGGTGCTTGTCCCCGAGTAGAATCCATATCCGGTCTCTTTACATCACCATATCTTTTTGCGATTTTCTTAGAATTTAGAGAGTCTTTTAGTCCACATTTGGACATTTTCATTATCTTTGAAAAACCACAAGTTTGAAAAGGAGCTTACATTACATCTTTATGCTCCACACATGGTCATTTTCACACTTAGGCCATTCGGATTATATCATTACCCTTTCGGTTCCACCTACACACCTTTGGGAACCAAATTTTGAGTCAAAGGGTTTTCTCATCAAAAAAAAAAAAAAAAAAAAAAAAAAAACAAAAAAAAAACAAAAACAAAATGAAGCATGCAAATTTTCAGTTGCAACTATCTTAGATAGGTGGCCGGTTCAATTATTGAACAAATTTCCCAACATCTTGGTCACCCGACGTTTGATATTCATTTGTATAGGTCTGTTTTATTGTATATAGATCGAGTTGTTATTTTTTTTTTCTTTCTCACAAATTGGTGATGTTAGAGAGACTGTCGAGTCGGATACTACGGGAGGTTTGGGCCAACACTAAGTGAACTGATTCCTACAACGGTGCCCGAGCGATTAAACCTAGTTACACATGAGAGAAACCGGCAGATGTGAGATCAGAGTGTGCACTTAAAGAAGAGCTCCACCCGAGCCCATCCAGTTGCTTTCTCCCTACTACAGATGTTCTTCATTGTATACATGTTCCATTGAGGCTGCGACTGCTCATCCCTCCTTACTCACCTAAAGGAGTTGTCCTGGCTGTGGTTTATGGTTCCATTGTCATCGGATGAAAAAGTTGTGAGATAGCAGCGAAATCAATTCTGACCATGTTGACTAACGTCGAACAGGTTCCATGGTTCTATCCATTCTTTTTATTTCTAGGGTAGTTCATCCCAAGTTCATTTAGTCTTGTCTTACTTGAGGACAAGTAAGGTTTAAGCTTGGGGTGATTTGATAGCTTCATTTTATTTACTTCTTTTTATAGTTTATTTTAGCATATTTCATTCATAATTTAGATAATTTCCATGCATATTTTCCTTTTTGTTATTTTATGACTATTTCGGGTACTCTCGAATCTTGTGAGCATAATTGCAGGTTTTCGGGTCTAGCGGAGCGGGAGTGTTCGGGACGTATAGGAGGCGATGAGATTTGGTAGACAAAAATGACGTTGGGCTTGATGGGTAGTGGAGATGATGCATAGAGTGATCTTGATGATTATTTGAAGACTTAGAGAGGTCAAATTGGGCTTAAAATGAAGAAAAACTTGAAGAAAATGGGCTAGGAGGTGATTGGATTCGATCTGGGCCAAGTGGGCTAAGCTATGGAGGCCCAAAACCTCAAAGATGCTACATCCAGGGACCACCCGCGCAAGAGCACGCGGGTCGCGCAACCTCCTGCAGGGGTAGTTTCGGAAATTCTTCTTTTGAGCTATTTGAGGAAGGTTGGTGCCCATCTTTTGCATACTCTTGGACATCCGATTTTTGAAGATTCTCTCTGGAGTTTTGAAGACTTTTGAAGGCCAAGAACCCTTGAAGAACATCATATTTTTACCTCTTGATTCTTGCTTAATGTTTGGTACAAATTTCTCTAACTTTGTTTCTTTGTGTTTAGCCATGCTTGGCTAAGCTAATCTTGGTTGACTTTTGGTTAATCCTTTGAACTTTTGTTGAATGTTGAAGAATCCATGAACATGTTCTTGAATCTTTATGGAATGTTTTGTGTTTTAACATCTTATCATTACTTGTATGTTTTAGTTCATGAGTTTAAATGTGTTTGTGGTGATTAGTTGGCTAATTTCTTGATTAAGTAAAGGATCCTCAAATTAGCAAGCAACAAATGATTTTTGTGTTGTTTTTGCTTCACACAATCATAAAAACATTTCCTCCAACATGGTGGTGAAAGCATTTGACCCCTCTTGGATTTGGTGACTTTTTGGTTCTTAATGCTAGTTGACTTTCACTAATTACATGCTATTTGGAATTAGTGACTTTGACTAAGGAAATTGTTATGAGCTTCTCTAGCCATTTCAACAATTAAGAAAAGTCTAGGTAATCTCAAGCTCCTTGGATTACTATAGCCAAATTGAGGATTTAAAACAAGTATTGCACCATTGAATTCTAATGATATGTTCATCAAAAGTCAAAGTGAGAAAACTTTAAGTCAACCATCTTTCCCTTATTGATTTTACATCAAATTCTTATTTTTGTTGCAATTGTCTATTTAAATCATAGTTAATTCTAGTTTGTTTCAAGTATTTCAAAACATCAAAACCCCCATTTTTAATTTATTGTCATATTCCAAGTATTTTACAAAGAGATTTTTCATAGAGTTATCAAATTGAACCAATCTCCGTGGATTCGATCCCTTTACCACTATACACTATTTTAGTGTGTAATATTTAGGGTTATTATTTGTGTTGGCCTCGACAACCACCAATATTCACGAATATAATGGTATAGGTTATTGCTATAAAATGGTTGTTAATGGGTGACTCTCAACCACTTCCTTGACTGTGGATCGTTAGCCGAACGGGTAGGATTGGACATAATTTTCATTATAAGTATTGATAATTATAAAGTAACTAAATTTATTAAATTCTCAATTTGTTACTTTAAAAAATTATGGTGTTATCCATGAAATTGCACTTGACCTTCGTCACAAACTAACTTGGACTAACAGGCTAAAGGGTAGCTCGATGTTTGTCATAGATCAGTGGACTGGTTAACCGGCACATTTATTAGGGTGTTAAATGACATCGAGAGTACAAGGTAATTTGCATGGTTATTCACACCTTGTTTGTGATCCTCGGCTAGTCACAAACTTGAACACAATAATTTAACATGCCATTAAATCCAATTCTCAAAGGATTATTTTAGTCCTTAAACCTTAATAATCAATTTCATTTTTCATGGTGGAATTTGGTAAATCGTCATTTATACGTTCAATTAACGATTGGATACAACATCCCTCTTCCGAATTGTAAAATATTGTGTTGGGTTCTATCCTTAATATTTCATGTTGGGTGTTATATTAAGGACTTAAATCAACTAAACTGAATTTCTCCCATTATAGATGTCTAGTTTTTGATAGTTGTGGTCTTCTCAAATCTTTAGAAAAGGATTTCCTTGTGAAGATGATGTTCCACAAAATCATACTTCACTTCCTCCACATCCTCCAATAATTATCCCTAACCCACAAGTTCAAAGACTTAAAAGTTCAAGGTCACTCAAGCCCTATTGGCTAGCAAACACCAAGATGGAAGGCCGGTGTGTGCACATGTCTTGGATATGAAAGTCACACATTGACAGGTTGGGATTGTTATGACTCGTTATCTCGAGGAAGTTGGCTATTGACTGGGTTCTTCATTCACTTCCTGAGTCATATAGTCAGTTTGTTAAAGACTACAATATGACAAGTCGCGGTATGTCCCTTATCGATCATGCCTATTTGCTTGTTGCTACTGAATCAACAATGATTTGGTGCACCGGTAAAGAAAATTTGATTGGAAGATCTACTCCCTAACATCCATGGACATTAACAATGGGAACATTGGTAGTCCAGAAAAGCATTCTCTTCCCAATGGAAAAGGACCAACCTTAGTCAAGTCATTTGACCAAATGGTAAAGAGAAATGCTAGGTCTGAGATAGTCCTGTGTACCATTCCCAAAGAGTCCATATGTTTCTATTTCCAAGAAAAGAGGCACTGGTTGCGAAGCTGCCATATTTACCTAAAAGATCGCAAAGATGGTAAAGTCAAAAATTTTGACTCTACTTTAGGTAAAATCCACTATCTAACGCTATTAAGTTCTAATTGG